ATCAGAGAAACTTTGAAGGAAGACTTGCGGTGAAAGAACTCTCGTGTAAGAATTTAAGTGATTGTCGCATTTTTTAGCGATTAAATCACTTGTTCGGTATTTTTATCGGCTATCCCAGCATCTGCGTAAGAAATAATAAATTGAAAATGGAAACTGTAGGATTGATAAAAAAAAGTGGCTCGTAACGAAGACAATATCGTTATTTATGCACTGAATGTTACTCTGGTTTCAAAACGAGACCGAGAACATGGGGCGCAGCTGGTACAAAACTATAGACTAAACACATAGTGTTATAACGAAGTCTCGGTCAATAAAAAAGTAGAAAAAGAACGAGGCTAAAATCCAGTCATCTTGACCATACAAGCTTGGTCAAGAGAGTTTATATTCTCTTGGCTTAATCATTAAAGGATTCATTGTGTAGCAAAAGATTTCGCTTTGATAAGAATCAAGAATGGCTTGTGTATTTCGAGAACCGATAGTGAAAGCCAACTGTGTTTGCAGCACAATAAATCCAAGAGGGTCGTTTATTTTTTTCTACGTATATGCCAACATTGTCCAAAAGTTACGAACTTTGTAAGTTTTCTTGCGTGGGATCAATACGCGGAATCCCGAGCGGGCGAGGGTGGGCCCATCATGCCCGCTCAGGTAGCCAATCAGAACACAGGATTTACGTCATCTTACACTCTTGCGCTGCTAGCTATATGATAAAGTGACTTACAGAACAAGATATCTACTGACCAATCGTATGTTATCCCATTTCACGATCACAGGTCTCGACATGTTGCCTTTTTTCCACATAAGAGTCAAATTGAACCATTGAGCTACAACGTTCAACACATGATAGTCAGTTGGTGGTCTAATGAACCATTCATTTTTTCCTTTAGCCCCTTATACTACAATCAAATGAAATCTAATTACCGGCTAATATCGATATTACCGTCACTGTCAAAGATGTTCGAAAGACTAATTCATAACAGAGTCGGCCCATACTTCGAGGATCTTTACAACAAGCTAGTTTTCGCATATAGAGACTCCATGTGCATTGACTTCACTGAGGCGACAAAGCAGAAGAAACCAAGTTACAAGGAAAAGCTTGTATTTCTGATAAATTAAACAGCTGGGTATAACTTAACCCGCTCTATCAATTCTTATCTTACATGATAAGTTTGACCAATTTAACACCCTCATGATCGACGAAGAAGCATTCATTCGGGGGTGGCAGGGTGATTGACGGCTGGGTGAATCAGCATTGATTTGACAGAACTAGACTGAGGCCGAGGACAGTTCCCTGTGGCAAAGAGTACTTTAGTGGACTGACTTTGGAGAGAGAGAACTATCAAGATGATATCGTTTTGCATCGTCTTGCTATCCTTCTTATTTAAAATGATGTGACAATCATTTGAAAAATTTTCTTCCCTGCTTCTTCAAATCGTCCTACTTTAACAGTCACTATTGCAGAACAAAATTGCTTGATCTGTTGAAACTTAGCAACGCGCTTTAAAAACAAAGATCAGTACGAAGCTCACGGCGCTTAAGTTTTTTCATTTTTTCCGATAATTTCCAGATAAAGTCGATACAAGACAGTTGTTTACCTCAAAGGAGTGGAGAAATTTCGTCTCGAAGCACACAACTGCCATTATTGCCTTGTGTACAACAGCATAAAAGAATACACTCTTCAATCACATTTTGCATTAACGTGAGACCTCCCTTCGCGTTAAAATTGACTGAGAGCAAACAGCAAACGGGAAAATTGGTCACTTGGTCATCTTTACCGTTTCCCGTTTGCCGTAATCACGTCCTGCCTAACATCTCCATCAATAGATCACGTATGACGTCAAAATGTGGTAAGAACAAAAGAGGGCACACGAGGTACATAAAATTTACTTTTTCCTAACTAATACTTTGCAGGTGAAAGGGGCATCTAACATTGTTCATGACAGGAAAGATACAGCACCCAAGAACCGAACCTGTATACAGCAGAGGGACATACGCTTATTTTCCATTCGCAGACGGATTTGACCTGGCATGTGACTATGTTTTAGTGGGCTGCTTCGGGCTAAATTCTGAAAATATCTCAGTGCCCCAGAGTATTCTTGACGGTTACTTTTGTGGAATTTTTATTACCTCAGAATTATACATCCCTATGCTTTTCACTTCCTGGACTACACAGAATGATTTAACCTCCTAATCAACTTTTGTTGAAGAAAATTCGTCGCTGCAAATACATTCTGTAGCGTGCGACGAGAACTTGGGGTTTGGTGTCTTCTTCATTGAAAATTATGGAACACGTCAAAAAATAATAACCAACCAATCAGTTTCACGGTATTTACAGAAAAATGGTTTCCATATCATGCATGTGCTGGCCGAGGCACAGTATTTTATACTGTAATGACAAGGGGTACAAAGGAATGTAAAGGAAAAGCACAATTTTGGTTCGTGTGTAGGACATGGCCTGAAACTTACAGCGCCACATAGCATTGGCTCAGGTTAGGGTACAATGCAATGTAGCAGGATGCTCGTCAGGATTGGGTTGGCACTTTGTTGTTGTGCCACCATAGGGTTCAAAACCCCAAGTTGTTTACTGTTTTGATGTCTCAAATCCAATCTTTGATATCTGTATAATACAAAGAAAGAAAGAGAGTTTTCATTATACTATTCTGTACGTGACTCGAGATTGTTACAGTCGTGAAATCATTGTGGTCATGACCGATGATAAAACTGTAAGATTTTCCGTATTGTGGCCAGTATTGATTTCTCACTAAATGCTTTTTTAATAATTAGACTGTTGTTTAGTCAGTTGATGTGCAGGGGATAAAATAGACCCAATTACTTTTAAAAAAGTAAACAATCCTGTAATACTTCTCTGAGAGATACAAAATCTGAAGTGAGATCGTCAGTTCTGCAGGTAAGTGTTTATGATGAAGGTAGTTGCAGTGTTGCACAGTGTTGTTAGTATCATTAGCTACATAAACAATGAAGCAACGGTAATTATTACCAGAGCAGTTGCAAGCCATTTTAACTCTTAATATTTTGTGTGTAATAAATCATGTTATTGGAGAAAAGAGATGTTCTGAGATCTTTATTTGAAATTCCGAGTTCTCTTCATCTGATAGGAGAACGAAGTTTGAAATTTTGTGTTTCCTTTTAGTTTACTTCAGTGAAACTCTGAAATTTCAAAGATGATGAGGGGACATTGTGAATATGAGCCAATTAGGGACATCATAGAAAAACCTTCATTTGAAAAAAGAAAATGTAAAAAGCACCTTGTACAAGGGAGGCGTTCGTTAAATGTATCAGATGAAGAATTAGCGCCTCACACAGAAACAGCTGCAGTCACGATATTACTGGGTTGAAAAAACCCGATTCCCTACGTAAGCGAAATTGATGTAAAAAGAGCCCAACATCTTTCCAAGAGGATCAATTCGCTAGGCCCCTTTTGAAACATCATTGGAAAAGGTTTCCTGATACCCCATTATTAAAGAACCTGTCAGACTTCAAATTAGCTCGCTGACAAGTTAAGGTTACTGTCAACAAATCGGGTCAAGATTTTCACAATTTCGTTTTTCCGCTCTTTAGTGAGAAAAAGCAGTTAAGTTTGATTTGTCGGAAAAAGTGTAATATCCAAAAAAAACACGAGAGACGTCGCTGAAAGAAAGTTTTGGCGAACCTGTACTGAAGAGCGGACGGTGTCATAATCGGAAAGGCCTCTGAAATATCTTGATTTGCATATTTTGTTTTCTTGCACTGCACAACTAAAGGGAATTGCTGGCACCTTTCGGAAAACGTCGAGAAAGAAGAGTTCAAAAAGAAGAAATCAAAGTAAAGGTGTTTTTCTCTTAGCTTGCTTTGCCCACTTCTTCTTTTTTTCCGGATGAATTTTTGGATTTCGTTTAATTCATGGCAGATTCGTTTTCCTCTTTCGCGATATGACCTCTCCGGGGAATTTCAAAGGAGTTTTTTATCACGAGACTTGCCAAGGGGTTCGATGTTGCCTTTTAATGGTTAGCGGCATGTCCAGTCTGTTTGGAGGTCGGCGGTAACTGTTACTGTAATTCAGTAAAGCAAACACCGTTGGTTGAGTGTTTAAAATTTTGTCATTATCAGAGTCTATACTTTACATTGATATATAGCTTTCCAAGGTTTCTTCTAAAGGTGGCACGTAGGAAGTTTTTCCGGAAGGTACCCTATTCTGTTGACAGCAAAACTGTAAATACCTGTTTGACCGGTCAAATGCGCGGGCTACGCTTCTCTATTTGCATCGCTTTTCCCGCCTTAAAAATGATGCGCAAAAAATTGAATAAATAACTAGACATTTACATATTTATATTGCTAGTTAAACTCGTTGTTTTGTTTTGACTCGACTGTGGGCTTGTCGAAATACAGCACAGCTCTTAAAAATTCTCACCGAAAACGTCTAACAAGATATATATACTGCACAATACTACAAGCATACACTGTCCTATTAGACCCCAAATTGGGCTGGTCATTAATTTTTGGTTTGTATAAATGTTTACCATCTTCATTTTAAATTATCACTACGCGTAAGCACCACATATCGTCAGTCCTATCCTCGTAGTTTGTCACCACGGCTTAGCTTGTCATGGGTTTCCTTTAGGTGGTGGAAAGTCTGAAGTACTAATCGGAAGGTCGTATGTGCGACTCCTATTGCGAACACTTAGAGTTTTTTTTTTCTCTGTTAATACCTTTGTTACTCAGTGAATAACATTTTCCTTAACCTAAATCATCAGGCTTAATATTAACCATCTTCATTTACATCATCATCGGGCATAGGCATCGCATATCCACATTCCTATTCTCGCAATATGCAGGAACTTTGACACTTAACTTGCCACGAGTCTGAAAAAGCTCAGTGGTAGAGCGTCCGAAGTACTTACAGGAAGTTTGTTGGTTCGAGTCCAATTGGATTCTTTCTCTTTCTGAGTATGTCTATGTTATTCACTGAATGACATTTTCATTTATTTAAATCACCAAGCTCGATATCTACCAACTTCATTTATATCATCACAACTCATAAGTATAACATATTGACGTTCCTTTCCTTGCAGAATGCAATAAGTTTGTCACCTTGAACGTAATTAACAGGCCAAAGATTAAACCTTGCCTGGGGTCTTCTATAACATAGTGGTAGACCTTGCGAAGTACTAAAGGGAAAGTCGTATGTTGAAGTCTTATTAGCAGCACTTGAGTATTTTTTCAAATCTCTGTCTGTCTCATTCTTCATTTACCTAGTTTATGGTTCTTGTGGGGTGTATATTGGAACAATTATTCACCTCCTCCTGGGTAAATAATTGTTTAATATTCTGATACCTATAGAAAAAAGAGAAAAATCATCCTTTTAAGATAAGAATGGTTAACCTATAATGATTCGGGAAAATAAAACTGATTTAATATGAAGCCATGATGCTTTGGGCCCACTTTACAGGTTCATAATTTGGCTTACGGCCAACGTAGTCGTCCATAAATCGTCAGTTGGTTTTATCATTCTGCGTTGCTTATTGTTTGAACATAATGTTACGGTCATTTCTTGTCTGCTTTTTAAGTCTACATTACTGGTTTGTTCTCACTACAGGTCATACGACAGGAATTGTATCATAGTTAAGTTGGTGACGTAACTTGATCGCAGACCATGGTGCTACCAAACATCGTAACGCGTATATCGAAGTTTGACACTCCGGCGAAAGAGAGACTTGATTAAGTCTGTTTCCCGATGGAGTAACCTAGTACAAATTTCAGTTATGATCTACACTTCTATTCCAGCGTCCACGACTCCCGCTTCGGCTATCGGTACAAACTTGTCATCAATCTTAACCAATACAATAGGCCGATCAACATGGCTTCTTCGAGCAGGGTCCCTGTGGCACGGTGTCCATCGATGTACCACAATCCCCTCAACACCTTCCACTGGGTTCCAGTCCTTCCAATAAGATCTTCCTCCGTGTTCCCTCATAAGTTCTGAGGGCCACTGAACATCAATTCTCCGCCCCAGGTTAATGCTATCATAAACCTGCCCGCGGTCAATAATCCGTACACGTTGTGTCAGGCCCTCCGCGGATGCAGCCCCGGGACTCTGGAGCTGAGGCATTTGGTGCTGAGCTATGCTCACGGATAATGTACTAGGTCTCTTAGAGCCCGAGCTCGCCGTAGATCTTTGACTTGTTCGGAACCCCTGTTGCCCCCGATTAAATGAGGAACTTGGCGTCGATCCTCGGGTACTAATGTACACGGGGCCCTCACGGAAGCTCGTACAACGTTCCGTAAAAGTTGGCCCAATAGAAACTTCCGGCACATTTGCACCCGTAATGTCTCCACCGCTTTGACAAGTGGCGCCACAACGCATGCGTATACGATGCCACAGACGGCCGAGACAACCAGCAATGCCATTGAAACTCAAAGGACCTCCAACAACTTTAGCTAGTTGTGGGTTTGAGTCCGCATATGATGTTGTTAGTGGTGACACATATATTGGATATCCTATTGGCTGATCACACACTGAATTAATAATGTTCCTTAGCGCTTGTTTAGCGTTCTGAATCGAGCCACGCTCTGGATTCCGATTCCTGAGGAAGATCAGTTCTTGAAGTTGTCCTGCCCACAAACCTCGAACACACTCGCGATTGACCTACAAGGCAAGGGGAAAAAATAGCATTGAACCATTTGACTTCTAGAAGAGAATAATATCTAATTTTCCTTTCAATATCACCCCGAGTCACGCATAAGGATCACGACAATGAAGGAAATGATCACCAAGTAAAGAAGCTCTTGATTGCTGATCAAATTCTCCTTGTCAGCACCTTAGGAAATATATACAGAACAGTATGGAGAATATGCATAGTGATGTTAGGGTGTAAAGGGTTAAGCACTGCCACAAGTTAAGACTACCAGCTATATCTTCGACAAGTTTTTAAAAGGCACATCTAAATCCATTATTGTTGTACTTCGTTTTCCTAAATATTTTCCCTTTTCATTTTGTGCGTTTGGCACCAAAATATGAACTATTTAATCATTAAGAGATGGGTAGAGTTTCCATTTCCTACACTTATATTCAAGAATTACTCCAATACTCACTTTAATTACTCTAAAACTTAAATATCTCTTGTTGAGCATGATAATCTTGTACTCGTCTGTTCCATCATCAAACACATGCCTGAGGAAAGAAAAGTGTCTCGAGTGTCTTCGCCCTCCTCTTACAAAACATTGACGAAATATTACCGCTAATGGAGCCAACTGTTTCAAAACGTCTTATTTCCTATAAAATTCAGTCGTCATACACTTATTTAATTGAAATTCGAATCACTAATGATTCTGAAGGTGATGCCCTACAGTTAAAATAACTTGAGGGAATTACGATAAGCTGACTGAACAACAGCATCCACTTGCCACGAAAATTTGCTCGGGAATTTGTCCGCAGATATTATTTGTTCCAGGAAGTACAGATTTCCCGAGATCGACACCGTTCCGATTCAGTTAAGGACGTTAAGACAACGATGACGACGGCGGCAACAAGAACGTAGCAAAAGATAAGATCTAAATAAACCTCGACAGAAATTTAGTCAAGTTTTCACTTTGAATTCAATACTACAGTCACATGTTGTGCCGCAGTGAAGATGTCGAAGCGTCAGAAACGGTTAACGTATCGAGCTATTAGCGAAAGGCTTACAGGAAAATAAGTAACCACACGTCGCCGTAGAGACACCTTAAACTCCCGAACTCCCAAATGAAGTGGACGGCCAGACTGCTCATGTCATGAAGAAAATTTCCTTTATAAATCAAAACTGTCCAACACGATCTGTCATTACGTTATTCTGATAGCATTATTAAATGAATAAGAAATTGAAGTCTCCACTTAATTAGCCGGTCTGTTCGTCCATCTTTTACTAGTCAGCGCCCTATGAACGCGCTTCTATTTAAAAGCTGACCTGAGCGCCAACAAGGACTGAGTATTAGCAAGCACGGCCTGTCTCCATTTTGGATCTCCTTCATGTGAAATGACCATGTTTTGTTCGTGAGCTGTTATGGCATCGTATAAAACTGAAAGTTCATCGTACTCGTCTGGAGAGGTAAAGTGATCCTGAAAGACGAGAGTAAAAACATAACGGGTTATTTTGTTTTAAAAATGTAAAAATGATTTTGAGTGTGTGGCGTATTTCCCTCAAAGAGCACATTGTAAAATAAGGGTGATGCTTGTAGCAATAGAGGAATGTAACCTCACTATCAAAGTACTGGTCTTCACATTTCCTTAAAAATATCGTTACAAGGGAAACTACGGAAAAGTAACCAGCGTAATAAGAATCTCGAAAAGTTGCGGTCAGAGTAAGAGAATTTCTTGTTTACATTTCTGTTTTAAATTCGTCTGCCTTGTCTTTCAATTAACTAAATATTTTAACCATCCAAGCGCACTATCAATTTTTTATGCGCAACAATATTCTAGTTGAGCCTTTAATATCTCAATACTTCTTACCTGGTGCAGTTTTAGTGACATGCGCACTCCAGGTGCAACAATTTTTCGTAACAGATCCATGTCAGCAAACACCCATTCATCCTTGGCGTCAGTGATTCGAAAATCTCCTTTAAACAGGGCGTGTAGACCGTACAAAAATGATTCCAGACTGGTTGAAAAGTGAGAGGCAGTTAAATAATGATGAAATCCTCTTATCTTCTTAGTTATTATTACACGTTGGTCAATTAAATGTCTGTTATGTGATTTGCTTTATACATCCGCACAATGATAATAATCAGGTTTCTTTTGTCACGTTTCTGTTTGGCGACTTGAAATTAATTTTTTTTTGATCGCCCAGAAGGGAATCACTTATTTCGCATTTTCGAAGTTTATTTTCACGAACGTTAATAATAATTTACCGAATGAACAAAACTCCGTATCTTCGAAAGGACGCAGTGCAGATCGACTCATACTTTTTCTTCTTCCAAGCTAGTGAAAGAAAAGAATAACACCTTTCTCTCCTCTACGACCGAGCCCAACACTCACCAGGTCTTTAACCCCAGCAGGTATTTCGTTGCTACAGAAATGTCAAATTCATTTAAAAAGCTGCCGAGAAAATCGAGTGAGCTGACGAGAGAAATCTGAAAAATGTTCGTCAATGGAAATGGCGGCCAAAAATTAATGAGGTTCTACCGAGTATCTTAACTCTTAAAAGTCTGAACAATCGTTCACGACAACTTTTTTAGTCAACCTAACTCTAATTTGAAAGTCACGCTATGCATTAACAAACCTGGCAGACTGTGGATGTGAAGCAGTCCCTAATGCTCTTCTTCCCAGGAGACACAGCGCAAAACAAAGAGTTGCTAGAAAAGAATCTCTCTCACACTCAACCGGCTGAAACCAAAAACAAAAAGACAATATGATGATCAAACTAGATAAACCTGTGCCTAAAACTCGTCACCGGCCCCCTTTTTTGAACAAACAAAGCCTCCGCCGGTTTCAGAATATAGTTATGTCAGTAGTGAAAAGGTGGCTTTCAATACACCCTCAGTCAAACCCTCGAGCTCATATTGCGGACATCACAAATTAGGAGGACTTGTGTGAGAGCGTTCAGTAGAATTGCTGCTCGTGTTTTCTCTTGCTTCTTCCAAGTCAGAAATTTTCCATCCTAATGTTTTCACCCTACCTTATTCTTTATCTAATAAATATAAGAATCTGACTTATTTTTGTGGCACGTAATTATGGAAAAATTTCACTGGAGGGGGGGGGGGGGCGGCGGCAAACAGTTCTTGCTTTTCAAGGAGAGTACTAAATTGCCTAGTTCTTACCTAGTTATGAAATAATGACTTTCTGTGGCAGTCACCTGAAAAGTTGCATTCACACCGCCAACAACATAATATTTCTATTTCTTGGATTCATATAATACAAATCCAGTGGAAAAGTCACCGTCATTGATCAGATGACCAAATGTTTTTAAAGGTCTCGTGTAATACTTGCAATTATGAATAATCTGAGATTGAACTGTTAACATTTCCTCACCGGATCCTTACGTGAGGCACAGTACTGAATCCAAGAATAGTAACAAGTGAGAAAGCTGGTTCTAGAGATGCCGCTCTGTCGCAGATCGTAATCTTCGTCAATATTATGATAGAAAGATCGATCAACATCCACATACTGCGGGTCATGAACAGACATCAACTGCTCACGTAAGGTCTCGTCACGTAACCAATGATCCAGCTTTGGTGACTTAATTGTGTAGAATATCACCGACTGTAGAGGGAAAACACCAGGTATTTGATGTCACTATTTTACTGTATTCAATGAAGACGTATAGCTCAATCTTTGGCACTTTGGACATTACATAAAAGGGCGATTATACTGTGTTCTTGGGTAAAACGCTTAACTCTCACAGCGCCTCACTCCATTCAGGAGTATGAAGGGGTACTGTTTTGGTGAAACCTGATGAAATGCCAAGGGAGAAGGGGTGGGGAGGACTTGCATTAAGCTACAATCCAAAGACCAGGGATAAGCTCAGTATCAATCTCGCATGGAGATTTAGACCACTTTGTAACTTGCAGAAATTGGTGAACTGTTACTGCTTGGGTTAGCAGACCGGTTTTTACAATTTCAAAAAGCTTTGAAAGGTTAGCTGCCATGTTTTAAGTAGTTAAGTTGTGTGTGTTAAATTCAGGAGACCTAAAGCTTAATTTAGTCATTTAGTGGATACACACCGATTAATGCTCTTTACGTTTTTAAGGCAAATTTCACGATTACACGTTCTTGAAAGAAACTTTGCGACAAAAGGTGGAGAAAAACCAGTTGCCCTTCAAATCAACTATCATCTAGTTGTTTGCACAAAACATTTCATCCTTCAACATGAAGCGATTTTCAAATATTGATAAAGAAACAGCGTTTTCACAGATGAAAAATAAAAGTATTAACATACCTTCACATAATAAGTGACGAGTATCTTTCGCAGATCAAACACTTGTAACATAGATGCTGCTGAGTTGTCACTGATACTGTAACCTTCGATGATATACTTGGTCGCGCTTACTTCCCAAGCTAACCACCGCTGACCAAACGCCGCATTCAGAGAGAGCATGTTGGGAAGATGGCCCGGCTCACAGCAACAGCAACCTGGGAACAAGTAAATGAATAAGAGACATGTACAATTGGTGCGTGCACATGAGGAAAAAATGGAAAGAACGTGAATTCTTATGAAAAGAGTTTTCTTCGTGTATTTTAGATCTATGGCATGGCAAAGAATTCTGTGAGTCTGCCCGAAGGCCGGGTGTGAAGATGAGGCAAATATACTTCCAAAGTTTTTCTATCACTCACACAAAGTCAAACGAAAATAAGAGGCTCAAGGTTAAAAGAAAGTTGTTGCTGCATTAAATTTCACTAAAAATCTGCAAATTCAGAAACAAACCATCATCATCTTCGACTCCTTCGGTGATAGCTTCAACTTCTCGCTGCTGACAGTATGTGCCTAAAGTTAAAAAAATTAAGGTTTAGATTTGACAATGTACCTGAATATTCATCTATTATCAAAACAGGGCTGAGGCAATAATAAGAGATTTAGTAAAGAAAAGGAAAACATTCAGAACTAAATTGAGATAAAAATTTCATGAGTTTCTTTATGCATTGTGCCTACAATGGAATTTTACCACGTAATCCTATTTTCACAAGAATCTATCAAACTAGGAAATTTCGTAAAAACAACTTGCTTGTTTGTTCCCCATATAAGAAAGTTAATAATATGACTGAGATTCTCTTTCATAATTTGCCAGCTCTTCCAAAAGTCCATAGGGGGGGCTGTCGTAAAGACTGCAATTCTTACCTCTAAACTCCAACCCTCGAACCTGAAAGGTAACAAGGCCATTTCCAACCTCTATGACGTGAACCAGAGCATTGAGGTAGTCTGAAGCTAACATGAAACAGTCCCCTGTAGAAAACGGCCCCCAACGGCCCATCATAAGGTCCCCACACAGGCTGTGCTGCAGGGACCTTGTTAGATGTTCGTAGAATATAGAGTTGAGATTGTTGTCGTCACTTCCTGAATTTCGAGAAAAGAAGACGTTGGAAATCGTTTCAGCGTCAAATCAATGATAGTTATCTATTATTTTTACATACGTATATTCTTACGAGCGCGTCCTAATGAAAGTCATACTAAGTCGTTGGACCATTTCACAATTTGGTCTACGTTTAATGACAGTCATTTTTCTACTTCATTAACAACCTGTTTAAGTACAAAAATAATAGGAACAATTTCCAACACTTCGATAGGAGTCAAAACTATTCTTCCACGCGTTGACCCAGCATTCCTCCCAGTGTTGAATTATGATAAAACCAGCTTTGATTGTCTCGTTTGGAAAGGTAATGCAACAGGAAATCATAAGCTCCCTGAACGGTGATTGTTAAGCCTATCGGGTGTGGGAGTATCTGAAGTTTGTTACACTAGGTACTTCAGCTTGTGGAATCTGAGATAAACTGAGAGATAGTGGCTGTTCGTGTTAAGCACCATTACAGGGAAGGACCCAATTGGATACGATAATTTGTGGTTCTCAAGATGAATGCGAAATGCCACTCTCTCATATATCCTCCACGTGACCAACTGCTGTTGGTCAATAAACTTGAAGGCTCTGGGCAACCCTACTGAACAGGACAAAGAAGGAATACATGAAACAAAAACAAACTTACCAGGATTTCTGTCGAGCTGCGAGGAGAGGCGTGTGTTAGAATGATCCACTCGACTAGTGCTAAACACAAGAGAGACATTAAAATAGTTTAATACACTAACTCCTTGTATCTTTAAAAACCATACGTAAATCTACGGCTGAAAGACAGAATTGTACTTACTATATACGAATTGAAAATTACGATAAACGCATAGTTTCCAAAATGTTATTGAAATAACTATTCGATTAAGACGAGGAACGTTTTGATGTTAATTGTATGCATTTATCCGTACCATGTTGGTGGAGAAAAATCTGTCAATCCAGCTATCGAGTTGAGGAGTTACCGAGTTAAAATGTCTTCTATGTAACGTCAGTGTTGCTGAGTCGAGAAAGCTGTTGACAAAGCTCAGCGACGCGAACTAAGCTTAACATAAGGGATACCTTTCGTGCTACTTACTTGTAGTCCTTCTCCCAGAATTTGACAGGCCGCACGTATGACGTAATGAATATAGCGCTACCCAGGAAAGGGTTCAATGGAGCAGACAGCACAGACGACAATACAGCTTGGAAAAACAGCATGGCGGAGTCTGAGGGGAAATATGTCAAGGAAGCATCGAAACAGCAACAGCGACTAGTGAGGATAGCCGGCAAAAAATGGTAATAAAAGAAAGGGTGCTGCACGTATGTGCTTCATGAACGAACACAATCTTCTGTTGACGATTTCACACACTGTGACTAAATACATGATTAAAAAGTTTCCACTGGTCATTTAGGAGAACATTGACCGCTTAGCTCGGTTATGCCCAAGAAAACAAGTGCGGTTTCAAACCCATTACACTTTATTACTGACCATATCAAAACTAACATTCCAATTCATAAACAGCTGGGACTGAAAAGACAAAATCAAAGCTATTTTTGTTTTGAACTCGGAGATCAGGGATAAAAAGGTGCTAAGAGCGTTCGCGTCTCACCGCTGAAAGCTGGTTCTCGTACCAAGGCTTTCTCTTCCAAATCTTTGCTTTCCTCTCTTTCGAGAGTCAACACTCTAAATTAAAATTCTCCAAGGAAAAAGGGAAAGAAGGATGTGTCCTTTCTGAGACCCGACTCAGTATTCATTGCACTATTTGATTACCACTAGAAAAGGATACGAGGAACACTGAAGGGTTGTGCGAATGCATGAAAAGCAGAGCCCCACGTGATCTGCCATGGAGCTATGTACGTCACCACGAATCGGACCTTTAAGACAAGTTCATACAACTGAAAGAGAAAAAAAATGATGTTATTAATTATAATAACAACAATAATAAATGATTATTAATGCCATTTGAGAACACTTTTCGGTTGAGTGTCACAAAACCAAAGTCAACGGCCAATCAGAAGAAAGTAAATACCTTTAAGGGCTAATGAGAATTCAAAGTAAAAACAATGAAACTGCCAAAGTGCGGGAAAACGCCGCCGACCAAGTCGTGATTGGTTTCATTATTGCATCTGACTGATTGATGGAGTGAAATGATTACAGAGGGAAGTAAAGGAGATTCATTGCCATCTCGGAATCACGGATCACTCAATTGAAATTGCTCCAACTTCTCTCGCTGAGAAGCAATTTTATTGCCAACTTATTGCTTTTGCTACACGTTTTTACGTCTTGTTACTCAATACTTTGCATTATTGTGTATATTAGTTTCTATCTTACTCTTACATTTACCTTACTCATGAATATTGACATAAAGAAATAGTCCACAACAAAAGTCTCCGAGCTGTGACTGTAGTCAAAGTGAAAGAAGAGAACTGTCCATAGCAACACCACATGCTGCCGAGAGGAGTCTGAGAACGAGGAGCGCAACAGCTTCAAACCCACGATACATATGACTACTGGCCCTCCGCTACAAAAAAAATCAAGAAAACAAAGTATTGTTCCCTTAGTTCAGGAATGTTCCAAATCGGATTTTTTGAAAGATTCCTGCTCTTAAAGAAGGGCATTCAAATACCATTATAAGAATATGACGCTGAATATGAAAAATGTCTTGCGAGGATAATTTTTTTTTTACAACCAAGGTAAATGTTTGGGGAAACTTACCCTTAATGTTTTATGACCCTATCAAGTGAAATTGAATGGCAAAATGAGCTTCCGTGCACACAAAAACACAACCGTGTACTTACAAGTGGCCAAACTTGTCAACTAATCGGCTAGCATTTGATGTCAGTGCACTCAAAAATACAGCAGGATAAATAATGTTCCTCTCTACAAAATTCAACCACACGTGAACCCATTCGTAAGCCATGATCTTGGCTGGAGCTAAAAAAAGAGAAAATAATGCTTAAAGTAAGACTACAAAAAGTCTTTACTTATTAGTTAAGACGATATGCAAACAAACTGGAGACTGAATTGGAGAGCCCCTTTCCGCTAGTGGTCCACAAAAAATTTCCAAACTCAACACGCAGGGGAAAATAACAGAGGAGAGTATTTTAAGTTCCAAACGAATGGTCATAAGTTCCACCTTCGAGAACATTCAGATGTTCCTTTTACCCAGAAGAACTGTGTCACGCAGAGAACTCGAAAAAATGTTTCACCAACCTTTAACTTCGTATTGGTTGAACTCACGACTTCGTAGAAAGGGCCTTGCGAAACACAGCCAGGGAAGAGGTTTGTGAAGCTGAGGCCAAATATAATGGTTGACGACGCCCAGTAATCCGGCTACAGCGTACAACACATAGCTGACATATGGCTATCGAAAGCAACAGGCAAAGATACAATAAGTCAAAACAAGATCACTTCGGTATTGTTTTCATCACCTGTTCGATTGCATTCCGTCTAACCCTTGCATTCTTAAGCTCTGAGTCGCAATTCAATTCCCCCCCCCTCCCCCCCTAGTTGCTACACAAGTCTTTGGACATTAGTTACAAAAATTTGATAATAATTCAAGACAGCGCCCTCAGTTTATTGGTTTTTGTATTCTCCTACAGTCATTGCTGTAAATCGTATTGATATTGCAAGGAGAAGATAAACACTTCTAGATTGATGAGTTAAAATGACTTCTCAATCTTTTACCATTTTTGCCCTTTCCGGTCTATTATCGAATCAACTTATTTGTCTATTCAACTAAATAAACATTTGAATATTCATTTTTACTCAGCGGCACTTTTCATTACCACAAAAGCGACTCTTAAATATTGTAACGCTAGCTGACTTCCTAGAGACACCCAACCCAAAACCTCTCTTAATCAAAGTCATTTACGAATGTGGAACCCTACAAGTCATTAAATAATCCTATCAGATTCAGCCACATACTTGGATAAATTGTCAAATAAGCAATAAAAATCAACTCCATACCTGTAGAGCTGTGAATACTGTGCTCAGATGAATAGCAAATACAAACACCAAGATGAAGATACAACAAACGACATCATTCTGAAGACGCTTGGCCTGTCAAAAACAGGAAGAAACTCAGTTACAAGACAACAAATTTTGACCTCGGTCTTGAAATTAAGAGAAGTGATTGGTTAAGCATTTGTCTCAAACGTGGAGCAATGGCAAAGTTTGATTATCCCTTAAGCATTCGAATCTCAAACCTTATGATTTTACGATCGGTTGCTCTCAGTAACTCAACAATAGAGAACTGATTGGTGAGATTGCAAATACAGGGTACATATGCCACCTTCCTACCTACTGCCACAATAAATAGTTCTCAGTCCCTGCTGCTCATTTGTTACAGCATCCGACAGAAAAGTGAGAAGTGGCTTGGGCAAGAATCTTAGGGAAGACATAATTTTCGTCCCAAGCTCGCGACATTGTTTGAAATCATTGTCCATTAAAGTAATTTTAAGTAACTTTAAATCAATCGCGAATTGGCGTCCACTTTTTCCCGCGCTTCAAGCTGATTGAATGTTGTTAATTCGAGTTCTCATCGGTTCTCGTTATTTCCCTTCCCTCTGATTGGCTGTTGTGGTAACTTAGGCTTTGATACGTCGGTGAATCGAAAAGCGCTCTAATAAGAGGACAATTAGCTAACGTACCACAGTCGCTCTAAGCTTCTCAGGCAAAGGATCAACAAATTCCTCTTCATTATCCTTAACAGCATCTTTCCCAAAAGCTTTCTTGAACACCGCCCTGTGACACAAACGGGAAAATACGTTATATTAGGTCAAAAAAAATAGGTAAAAACAAAATAATTGTATGTAGTCGAACAATGAAAATGAAAATGAACAAACACACAACTGATCGAGAGATCTCGCAAATTATTTTAGGAAGCGTAAGTATTTTTCAAATCTGGCAAAGTAAGCCTATCATATACTCTTGGTTTAAAGGGATGTTAGACTACTCCGCCATGCAGACTCTCGCTATTTGGTCTCACCCCAAAACTGTAGGATCACTGGCACTGCGGCTCAGGTGATACGAAATGACAACGAGCACACCACTGAACACAGAGAACAGAATATGTTGGCCGCCTTCTTTACCGTGCTATGAAGAAAGAAAACAATAGTAACGTATGGTATATTATTAACAATCACTCTTATCCCCTCTCTTACACTGTTACAACTTGTGACGTTACATTTAATATAGTTTTGACCATGTGGTCTATTCCTATGCGTGCAAAAGTTTTTGGGATTGTCTTGGTTTTGCTTTCCCACGTGAATTTACTTTTCGTTCTGATTGGCCTCTTGTGGTGTTTCCTTTGTTCTGATTGGGTGCTGCAATTACTTTTGTTTTTGATTGATGACTTTCAATAGACCTCCTTGGCTTGGATGTTTTGTTTACCCATTTCAGGTCTGAAGGGAATTCCCAGCTTTATCTTTTGTAGATTATACCTACATAAGCACGTGAATTTGGAAGACACAGTGTCCTAAGGCGATAAGTATCACAAGTTTTTAGTTTCCTTACCAACATAGCTCCATAGCAGAAGCCATAAAGAAAACAGACCGCCAAAAGATTACGAAACAGACTCCAAAGTGCTCCCGTTAAACTTGTAATGGCTAAAAAATTAAAATAATTTGAAGCATTTCAATGATATAGTCAGAGGAATTACACACTAAATTTTCAATGGAATGTGTTCCAACTATTGCAAAATGTACATTAAAGAGTTGGTTCATAGCGTGCGTAAATCGAGTTATAGATGCACGCCGGAAGTTTAGAGAGCACGAAGTAAGCATAAATTTTCCCTGTTCGTTTCTAATAACAGTGTGGGTTTTAGAGTACAGTTGGGCAATTCTTAGTTGCATCAAGGCTTCCTGAAAACTGATAGATAACATTACTCTCAGAAAGTAATCTAGGTATACTTTACTTTAATTGTTTTCCTCCTTAAGAAAGGTTCTGACTGTGGTCAGTGACGACTGATTGATTGACTTAACAAACAAATTATCTTTACCATTTCCTCCAAACAAATGCATATCCAATTGTTCCAGTATGTACATAAAAAATGTGTTGACTTGGGGTAGGAGACCAACAAGGAAGATTAAAGGAAAGCCAAGAATAAACCCTGCAAAAAAAGAGAAACAAATCAAGCAAAGATTTAATTGACTCAAGCATAGTTTTTTCAAATCCCTGTGAGAGCTTCTCCTTGCCCTAGGATACTATCTAAGGACACGTTTTCCAAGGGTTAGCTGGAACCGTTTTGTTCTGTTCTGTGGCAGTGCCTCCTTACACTTAGCTGCGCAAATGGGTACCTGTAAGTTCTTCACAAACATTTGTATGTTTGTAAGGTATTCCTATGAAATACCTTATGTATGACCTTTGCTTAAGCAATTGGTTGGTGATTATAATTCAAATGGCTTTGAATGGATTGCAAAAGATTATGAGAATTGTTTTCCAACAGATCTCAACCACAATTCAGTAAGACTCAATAGTCAACTAAATGCTGTGTTGATTGGTAACCCGAGCATAATGGGTTTTATTGTGCCTGCTTATAGTCATTTATTTGAAACAATTTGTCTTTGGCAACTATGGTAAAAAATGGAAGACAGTTGATTTTTCTTAAGCTGCTTGGAGGTGCAAAGTACTTTGCTAATCACCTCTAAACTCAGACTAAATGTTACCACTCAGTTGTGAGGTACATGTATATACCAAAAGTTGATAGCACTACCTACCAATCAGAAAGTCTCTTGTGTATGTCAGAGTGGAATCAGTGGCAAATGGGATACCATATAATGAGACTGTAACCACTTGAGACTGAGTCAGTTTGTCCAAGGTAAGAATACATATTGCTAAAACACAGAAATATGTTGGCCGACTAAACACAATCATGTGATTGTGTCCCTAGAATTGAGGAAAGAACATGGCTCTATTTAGTTTAAGAAAATTTCAATGTATATTATGAAAATAATAAACATGACAACGCACTTTTACTGCACTTCCAGAGATAGTTTAGATAATTACTGCGTTGAAATGATGAAAGCAGCCACATGAATAAAACATGTGGGAGATGCTGTTCTCCTGACACTAAAATCAATCAGAATTCATGGTAACAACACTAAAAAGGTGGCACAGTACTTACATGTGTTGGAGAGGCAGCATCAGGCTGAACACTCTGCAAAAATGGTTAAGACATAGATTTTTATTTATTAATTTTTTCTGACATCTGTCTAATTATACATTGCTCATATATCATCTGTGGACAAATGTGGCAAACTGATATAAATTTTCTTTGAGAACTTCACTTTTTCTGTTTAATTCTTATGTTTTCTTTGCAGGTCAACCCCATAATCAGTACAATGAGCTTTCACAACTCAGAAAAATTCCTTTCATTGAACACACTTGAAGTTTGAAGAGAACATATTCAACTAACCACATGCATCAAATCAACTGCTGTGACAACCACACAGTCTCTTGCAGCTCTTGTGTTTTACATTTAAACACCACTTGCTTGGTTGCTCAAAGAAAACGTCTTACATTACAAGTATAGACATTGCTGCTCATTCATGTCAAAGTGGACAATAAGCATTGTACACCGGACAATTGGAGATGTTAAGTAAATTACTTGCTGGTTATAATTGACAGCTGATTCCAAATAACTCCCAACCTTCGAGTAATATTTCCTTCCCCTCAAACTTTACCCTTGGTAATAGAAAGTCCCAAAATTTTTTCTTGGAGCTTAGAGCTAAGGAAGGTAAAGTGCATGACGGAACTGTTCATCCCATGCAATCATACAATTAACATGCTTCATGAGTTCATTTTTGATAATTCCTGATACTGTATTCAACATTTTGACTAGTAACAATTCATGACTCACCATATTGACTGTAACAGTATTCTAACCTTAATAAGAGAAAATTGGCATCCAGCCAGCACAAAACAAAACACAAAAATCCAGAAGTCTCTAAAGAAGTCTGCCAACAGAAGCCAATAACCCAGAACTGCCACAAGAACAGCCAACAATACAGACACTGCTGCTTCTATCATGTATTTGTTCCTTTAAACAGAATGGTACATGTGTTACTACCAATGGTGATCAATAAATAAAAATCTCCTCTTATGTAAACTTTGGAGCAAAATTACTTCTTTTGATTTAACAATACTGAGAATAAGCACCTGGATCTGTTTCACTAATATTTACTAAAGGCAATATTAAACCCCTCAGGATGTATATGATAGTGTCAAACATGAAAAACAGAATAAATAGCACGAATATTGAAAATGATAAAAGTTCATCTACTACTTGAAATAATTAAAACATTCTCATTGGTTGAAAGTGAACATACTGTATACATTACATGGTTCAAATTTATCCTTGGTTCAAGAAAGAAATATTAAAATTGAACCAAGCCAAGTACACAAAAATGTACATTTTGTATTAAAACATGGAATGCTTATCTATAAGAAACAATGGAATCGAGAAAAATAATACATAATGTTTAGCCCCTTAAACTCCTTGGAGTGACCATGAAAAAAATTTCCTCTTACAATATCAATGAAATATCAAGTAGCCATTGGCAAGTGATGACAATAAAGAAAAAAATTAGGGGATTATTATTGATCCAATATCAATTCTCTGAACTAACTTTACAGGAATTGTATGGCAGACAGTAAAGAGAATTACTGATGAGATCTTGTTGTTATTTCAGTAAGAAGTAAGGTTGGAAATCTGTACCTGTCCATTAGAGCTAGGAGAGCAAGTCGATCAAATTTGATCTTCATGAATTTTCCAGGAAAAAGCTGAAATTTGAAATAGTGAGGCTTAGGTTTTATTGTTGATGACACAGATGTTGGCCGGGTGAAAGGAAGGCTAGCTGAAGAGATGGTTTCCTGCCATCTTGTCTGAGAAGACCCACGACGCACAGATGATGAGTGTGACTGAGGATTTCTGGGTGAAGTGGTGTGATCAACAACAACTGTTGATGCAGAGCTACTTGTTTCCCTTGAGTGCAACAAAAAAAATTTTCAGTCTTAACAACTAAAACAAAGATCCCATGGGTACTGCCATAAATGAGACTTTTTCTTCATAGCAAGCACAAATACTACCGGAAGTCAATGCCATAAAGGCCTACTGGTCATTGTAAACTTCTTCTCTTTCCAGAATGCAAGGCTATAGGCATTTAATCTTTTTGGTTAATGGTTATGTGAGGCAGAGGGAGAGAAGAATTCCAAACTAAAACAACACAGTCATCAAAAGTGGCACTACTTCAACCACAATCATTTCAAATATCCCCTCAGTGATCAATATTCCTTTATCATCTTATACTTGATAAATGTTTCTCTGGCCAGCTAACACAGCTCTTTGGTTTCTTAAAAAGCAAGTTACCTGTTCATTGCAAATAGGACTCCACAACTCCTCCATTTCAACTATATTTCATAGATAATCAAAATCCTTTTTCCTTAACTATACAATGCTTTGATCAAAGGGAGACCGAAACAGACTACAATAGTAACTTCAGGAAAATCTCCAGTCTCCTTCATTCACACATTTCTACTACTGTCTGTAAGAGTAGGGACATGGAAATTCCCATATGCTTCACAATAAAATGATGAATCTTTTATCATACCAGGTGTCTCTACCAACTAAGTCCCTGATTCGCAAAGGAGACTGAGTAGTGGGTTGTAGCACAGCACTGTAAGGTGAATCAGAATTGAATATATAGGTCTGCCATACACCTACAGAACAAAAGACATTGGTTACAATCACTGTGCACTTATTGCCTTTGATCACTGGTGAATGACGTAAAAATATCTTTGACAAATATTGTGTGCAGATATATTTTCAATGTTTGTATGAACAAATACTACCAAGTCAGAGCTATAATGAGATGCAACAGACAAGTAGTTACACACTGTAAACAGTGTCTATATCCAAGAAAAAAAATCAAAATCTATTACTACTACTACTGCTACTACTCCATCCTTAAGGAGTGTTGATTTGTTTTTTTCTCAGCCTTAATTGGTTCATGGATCAAAATATTACAAGGAACTGCAGGTACAGTGTAAATCTGATAGAGGGAATATCTCTCAGATCCAAACCGAATCAGAGGAATTGACACAATTGGAAGAAAAACCCACAAAAAATTCATTTTTATGACAAAAAAAAAGCGCATACCAAACTCATCCTGAAAGCAATGCATAGCTCCTGGTGAGGTATCATCATGTGAAGATGCTACATGAGTTGAAGCACCACCCCCACCACCACCACCACTGTCAACAGCTTGAAGAAGCATATCAGCCAGCACTCCAGATTCATTGTGTCTACGACGTCTAATACCACCTGTTTCAGCTCTCCTCCTTCTCTGTAAGCTTGTTCTCCTTCTGCGAGCTAAAGAGGAGGAGCGCCTTGCTAGTATGAGGTCTGAGCTTTCTCTTCCTGATCCTTCAGGTTCCCCTATGCTTCCTGTCTGTGCAACAGTGGAAGCAGTGTCTTTGTTCATTGTAACAACACTAACACTATCTATTGATTCTGGTTGTGAGCTTGTTGAAGGATTATGAAATCTTCCAGAGTCTTGCAATGACAAAGTGTCCAAATTTGAAGGAGATGCTCCCACCCGCCTGTCATCTTCCCTTTCTCCAGCCTCTTCTGTTTCTCGTACAATGTCTGATATTGACCTCATTCTTGGGCCTACAGATTTATCACTTTGTGATTCATGGCGAGATAGACTTGCACCTTCGTACTCTGATCCAGACCTACTTTCAATTCCTGATTGGGTACCAAGTCTGGACCCAAATGATGCCCCAACATTTATGTCCCCTGAACTTGTCTGCTGTCTGGGAGAGCTGTGGCCTTCTAGGACTGACACAAGGGCCTGATATATGTTCCTTGGACTATTTGCACCATTGACATTAGAGCCCTCGCTTTTGGTTTGTAAAAGAAGGCCACGATTGGCTTCTTCAGTGGATTTCCATATGTCTGACACAACTAGACCAGGAACAGATCGTGACTCCATGTGGCTGTCCAAGATAGGTAAGGGGAGCGTGGAAAGGTCACTTAGGGTATCTAAAAATATATAACATACATTATCATTTCTGTCACTGAGTTGGTGTCTGGAGTTAAAAGATGTGTTTTAGGGGACAAAATCTCATAGGCAGGATCAACAATTTCCCCATGGGTCACTGCACTATAGGTGAATCATTGTTTTGCTTGATGATACAGCGGATTGATGCAAATCTTGTAATGGTTAACATACTGAGCACTGAATCAAAAGGTACAGGTTCACACCCTCAGAAGAGTTGAAATTCCTGTATTTGGTTTCGTGACAAGACATCTACACATATAGCTCTTGCAGTGTACATCTCACTAAAGAGTACAAATTAGAGAAACCAGACAAAAATTCTGTGGAAACCCCCAAATCAAATTATATATGTTACCTTTGCTGTCTGATTCCAAGTCTGTCTGCTCTTGACTTGTGTGATGTTCACTCTCCCCACCCACTGCTCCCTCCAAGGTATCATCAGTTTCCATAGTGGACTCGTAGTCTAAAAAATAAAAGCAGTTAGCGGTAATTATCATTATACATTTACAGGATTATGTGCAACAATCACAACAGATTGATACTGATGAGAATTTTTTGACTTGTAAAATTAACATAACACCCTACAAATACTTGAGGAGAAATTGTCTTTTTTCTTTTTTTGTAATGTAGGGCGAGTCAATCAAATACAGTCAATCATTTGCTGACAGAACTCAATGTAGACAGAAACTTTCAGGAACTGGATGCAAATTCAGCATCCTTAGCCACATACAACTCATCTTTTTTATTATCTGGTTATTAGTAAAAACATCTCCAGAGATGGGATCTCTTCCATGGCTGAAACTGAGCCTGAACCAAAACATGCCTGGGTGGAAACCTTGCCCTTTTGAGGCAGACACCTCATATAAGCAAACACCTCTCTTGTAACAACACATCTACTTGAAAGACACCTCGGCTAGATAGCCACCTCTTCCAGATGGACAACTCTACATAAACATCTCCTCAGCAAACAACTAGGTACATCATTTTTGAACACCTTTCTTATAAAGACTCATTGCCACAGAGCCTGCCTCTTCTCAGTAGACATCTCATTTAAACTAAGCCTCTCAAGCTACATTTCCAAACTCTGAAAATAGTACCACAAAAAAACAAAAAAAACCTATTCCTTGGAAGAAATGAAAAATTCACACAGTCAATTTCTTACCATTGGCATGTTCAGGGATTGTCTCACAAGAATCTATCTGACCACTTGGACTAAGAAGAAAACAAAATATACTCTAGAACCATTAGCTGTACAAAATGGACCGTACTGGTGTAACAGATCACAACTGAAAATAACTAAAAAGCATTCCAAGTGGAAGCCTAGAAAGTGAATCTTAAAGGGAAAATGAGTATTATTAGCTAAACACACACAAACACACACACCAAAAGTGCATGGACCTGGTTCATGAACAAAACATTACAAACTGAAATGTGAGAGTCATGCTGTTACACATGCTAGTGGTACAGTAATTTATGTATGTTGCTCCTTGACTTACCTCTGTCTAATACTGTTTTCTAATCTGTCTGTTTTCTCTAATTCATCAGCAAAGCTTATCTATGGAGAACCAATAATTACCAGTCATACATGTTTTAAATAAATCATCAATTACAGAGCAATAACTCAATGCACTTCATAAACAGTTGTCTCCTTTAAGCTAATCAAATCCAAATTTGGAGCAACAGTTTTACATCACTGAATAGTTTACAAGTTTTGTGATATTGGCTTAAAATGTACAAACTCACAAGAATGACTTTGACAGAGAAAAAGAAATGACAGTGAATAGTGCAGCAGAGAAACTTTTTTTAAAAAAAGGTGGAGGTTTCTATGAGTGCACAATTCTTACTGAGCATGCTCTCAAAAGGCATATTTGGCTTAAGGAGACTGCAGGCCATGATCAGTTCACAAGTTCAACTAAACAAAATAATTTTCATACCTAAGACGCATTAGATTTAGTACTGAGAGAACGCGTTATGAATAAACTGGTGCAAACAGCTAACCTTCTGCACTAACCTTGTTTATAATAAAACAAGAACTTATTATAATGCATTTAACAATCTGAAAGGATTAGTTATTAAAATAAACTATTAAAACATTATAATTGTACCTCTCTCTCCTTGATTCTGCTATTCCGACAAGAAACAACAACTGTGTCTCCATCTTCACCACCATCATCTAAATCTGTGGAAAAGTACAGTACATAATTAATTCATGGTTGAGCTTTTCTCAATCATGTACCATTCTGTTCCATGTTACAAACTATCATTTCCTTAAGCTCAGAAATCCAAATGTTTCATAATTTATTGAAACAAGCACTTTGAATCATGTGGAGTGAATGAAAGAAATGTTAGTGTCTAAAAGAAAAAGCTCTACAATTTTACTGCTTGCAAGTTCCCTTCCATGACAGTTCAATACATAATTTCAATTTGTAAAGAATGTAATTATAATAAAGTATATATCAAAATGTATTGCATTTTGCAGTTTGTTGCTTGATGGCCCTCAAACTTTATTTCAACAAGTAATTCAGCTGATCAAGCTTAATGTCCCAGTAGTTTAACCCTTAATACCCTAACATCAGTATACATTTACTCAATACTGATCTCTACTCAATTCCTGAGGTGCTGTTAAGGAGAATTTGTTTAACAATCAAGAGCTTCTTTAGTTTGTGATCATTTCCTTTATTCTTGCAAACTCAATGTGTAATTCTGGGCAGATATGGTGAGGAGACATTTGTTCGTAGTCACTCTTACAGATCAAAGGGTTAACAGAATCACAGCTGAATTTGGTAAAAATGTTCAAAATAATTTATACCTAATTTTCCTGTGATATACGTACCATAACATTCTACTTTATGTATTCCTTGTTCTTCACTTCCCTATCAAACAAATCAAGCAAAACAACATGGACAATCATGAAAAAAAAGAAATGTTTAATTATGCATAGCCAACAAACAGTATTTTCCTTATTTTTTAATTTCATAATAATTATAATATTTTGTATGGAAAGAAATGTGTACAAAAGGCTCACAAGTGATTATGTTAAGATTTTTCACCACTTCACTGAAATTAAAAAAAAAAAAAATTACAGCATACAATAAAGCTAAAGTCTGACTTTAAAATTAAATTGTTATTAACTTTCTACCCTTCCTGAATCCATATCTTTTTAGACAAGCTCCTCAGAGCCTTGGGCAAGCTACCTTAAAAGACAATTCATGTGCCACAAACTGCCATATGTTGTTTAGAAGGATTAGGGAGATTCAAGTGTCTAGCAACTGGTTTAACAAGAGATCCATAAAAATCACTGATCACTTTACGTGTACCTCTGCCAACATCATTTACTGCATAACTTGCACTTATTGCAATAAGTTATACATTGGTGAAAGAGGAAGACAACTAGGTGACCGATTTCGAGAACACCTTCGCGACGTGGAAAGAAATGACAAGGAAGCATTCAACATATGGCATTCTGCAGCCTTTCCTTATATCTAGGCAGTTCTGAAAGTTGCAAAACACTAGTTAAGAACAAAAATTTATCTTCCAAATCGACACTCTTAATCCCTATAGTGTCAACTAGTGCTTTCCATTCAACTAATTTATTTTTGTTTTCTCATCACCATACTCCCACCAATAGCGTAGCTCCACTTTCTGCATATAAACCCACACACAACCCACAATTCCTCCACTCACGCTGACAAGGGGCTAATGCTCAAAACATGAGCTTTTTTACTCTTTATAGTGGCTCTTTACATTTTCTACTCAGTTGTTAACACTAAATTACCTGCTTTACTCTCCCACTCATGCAGCACCACAGTTTCTTTAGAAAATTACCCCCTTAATTCATGTGGATTAGTTTAGATTAGGATGAAGATTAGTTTATTTAATTGCTTTGATTTTACCCTTGAAATTACAAATGCCAGAGCAATTGTAATATAGGCATGGCCTAGCCGTAGTGTTGCCTTTTTTCAGAGATATACACAAAAGAATAAGAGGTTTTGTGCCATAAAGGACAGTCAGTCAATGTTCAAATAGTGTCTCTGTGCAGTGTACGCAAAGTTTGCTAAAGAAAACAAGATCTCTTTTAGGTTTCCTTTTGAACACCTTTCTTACTTCCCTTATCTCTCTATAGTATAGTTGTTTAGATAATAATAGAGATGCAAGTGTTCTGACTGGTCAATGATTGTATCATACCTTGCTATAGTCACTCTGCGCAGGGTGATCAAATGATTAAGTACACTATTGCAATTAAACAAGCCACAATTGGCTTCTAGTTAGACATTTAAGTCTGTTTGATACTTTCTTGCAAACATGCATAGAAAGTAGGACTACAAAGTATCTCTTCTTATTCATTTTTTCTGTGAGAAGTTGGACATAAATGAATGAAATAAAATTTACCTTTTTGGTCTGATGATCACCTGAACAATTGTACCAAAACAACTGTTTGCCACAGGCATAATGAATATTGTTGAATAGTGGATTATTCAACAATAAACAGTTAACTTTAACAAATCATTAAATACTATGGAACAGAAGCAATGCTCACTTGAGAAGCAAGAGGTGGAGACCTAATTCTTGATTTTACAGAAGGAGGTTGAAATACAGCAATCTCACTGGTTTCACCACCATTCAGAGACGTTTCACTTTCCCAGTGGTCCCTCTCCTGTTCAACCAATCTCTGCATCTGGTCTTGTTTATCATCAACTTCATCAGGATCATTCTGTTTGAGCAAAATAACATTCAGGTGTTAGTTTATTTCACATTTATAAAACACACAGAGGTTTGTACTCACTCAAGCCTACAAAATTGCAGGGAATTTCCATAACCCTTCATGACTTAATGTTTTCAACAGTTTACTATAAATTTAAGAATTTGAGACTAATTTTGAGGTTTGTGTGCAGAGTAAAACAGTCACCAGCTGGGACAATGATCCTATTACCTGGACAAACTTTTCTACTGCAATTCAGTAGATAGGTGGCATAGAAAGGCATTTTGGATCAATGCCAGTATCTGAGAAACTCTGCTCCAAATGACATTGATTCCTGCATTTTCTCATTTACCATGCACTTAAAACCCCTTTTTCCTGCTTTGTTCTTCAAAAAACCATTTCCCGATCAATCTCTAAGTTTCCTGTAGAAAATTGAGATTGCAATACCCCAGCATTTTCAGTTTGCATCACCCACACAAAATGTACTATCTGGTATCATGAAGGCACAATAAACTTAGCACAATGTGAACTCAGGCAACTTCGTTCAAAACTCATTAAGCCGTGGTCACCTGTTCAACAATTTTTCTTTACTTTGTTTTCTACAACTTTAACTCCCAGAGGCAAACATGTCATGAGTTTGAAGGTGTTACCAGTGACTTGATAAAACACCAAATTCTCTTAATTACTTTGCAACAGAATACATTTCAAAGAGGGAGGAAGGAAGGGAGAATTAAACATCAGATCATGAAAATAACTAGGTACATGTACACTGGAGGCATAATTAATGGCTCTGGCTTCCACAAGACAAGAGAAAAGAGATAAGGATAACAAGGCTGTCTAAGATAACACAAATAATGCAGAGCGTAAGAATTCCCTCAATCATGTTTTACAAAAAGTACATGCTGCTTCGAGAAATAGTTTTAGAGGGGGCTCCGATCATAAATTATCATCAGTAGCTGTCAAACATTTGGCAAGTACTGCAAATTATGGATGTGCACAACAAGATCCCTTTCAAGAGCAGTCATGAATATCAAAGAAGGCAATTACCAAGTTATGACATTTGATGATCAAAGTCATACATAATGAAGTAAATCATTCCACACAGAGAGATTAGACTCACAAGTGAAGAAGGGAATGCATGTAAGGGGCTAGTTACCCACATGATGAAGTTGAATTATTTTTGTTACTGTTAGTGTTTTTTGTTTTTTTGTGTGTTCCATTTTGGTCATTTTCTCTTTTCCTTCCTCTTGCTTTCCAGGTAAGGTTTAAAGTTACTAGTCAAAAAATAGTCTGAGGATGGACTCAAAATTGGTAAGTGAAGCAAAGTCCTCTTAAAGAAGAGAGTGGGGTTCAATAAACCTTGATAGCTGATAAGCTGTCATGTTCTAGTGGAGGCTGATTACATTACAAAAGATGCAAGCAGAGAGGCAAAAAAAATACATTAGCCTTAAAATAAAATAAAAAGATAAGCGGTTGTTTTTTCTATCTTGAAATGTGTGAACATGATTAATTTACCAGGTAAAGAATATTTCACAAACACCACACAGAAAATTGCTTGTGGCTGTGTGCACAAAAAAATGAAATGGCTTTCAGGAGTTGTTATGAAAAGATCTGGTAAATATTATAGTTAACAAGCATATGAGTTGGACCTGGTGAGGTTTTGTAGCAGTTGCGACTGACGATGCGTTTAGAAGCAGAGAAGTAGAAGAAGGAGGTAGCTGTGGAGGTAAGCCTGAAGGACAACTTGTCGACTGCGCTACATTTTCGGCCCCGGGTTCGTTGGCAACTTCCTCCGAACAACGGTTTATCACCTCCAGTTCAATAACTTCCCCTCCATGTTCCACAGTGCTGCTTCTAACCTCCGCTCTTGAATTCTCGTCTCTGTCGCCTCCCGATTCTCCACTCCGCACTTCTTCCTGTTGTTCACTTTCGGTGCGTATTTCCTCCCCATCGAACATCAGGTGTAGTCGGTAATTCAGACATTTTATCGCCAAGAAAATGACTGCAATGACGATGGAATACAGAATCCAGACCAAAATCGAAGGTGCTGTGCCCTGCAATAAAGAAAGAAAACCTTTATCAAAATCGCAACAAAATAATCTATATGAAGAAACAATCGATAAACTTTAAGCTAGAAATCTGCAGAAATCTGCAGTATCGGAGTTTTCGTCAACTTTTGATATCTCTATCGTTCATTTCTTAACTTGTTTTTGCAAAAAAATAAGGAGTGTTAAGAAAAAAGAATTTCTATAGAAATGATTTATCTCACCAGATAAAGAGAAAACGGTAGGCAAAGTAACAACATCCATAGATAAAAATGAAAAGTGTTAGTGAATATTTCTTGATGAGGGTCAAAGAACCAACCGCCAGTGAGTGAGGCCCAAACTCCCTGCCTTAGAATTTCTAACGTCTGCGATCCCATTCTATACTACCTCATGTACTTCCAGGGATCTATTATGATAAGCATCGTAAGGTTACCACGACAGTAAAAAGATTTTACTGCCCGATACAATTTGGGCCTCCATGTTTTCCCTTATGGAACGGGAAATATAAGCGCCTGCAAAACAAACTAGTCAGCCGTGTCATTTTGAAGGACGCTACAATGTGATGTACATGCAATGTTATATGCAGAAAATAATAAATCAAGATGGCTGCCTGCTAAATGATTTGTAGTGAACTATGTTTCGGTGAATATTTGCCACCCGTTCCCCACCGAAGATGATAAATGAAGGGGATTATGTGATTTTAAAGAAGGAGAATGTCATAAAAGCTGTGAGAATTCGCAAGGGAAGGTAGGGATGTCAAAGATGATAATCTAACTTCATCCAAAACCATTGTTGAAGCACGTGGAAACAAAACCTTTCACTTTCTACTCATTGATCGGCAATGAGTTAACTATCCAAGTTTTAAAACCTAGATCTCGTAGAACTTTTCTTCTGAGCTATTCACTCACAAAAGTGAACTCATCATCGTTAAACGATAAAACGTGTGTTCCGCTGTAAAGAATTGACACTTCTGGTTCAAATTCCCCACTTCCGGGAAGGAAAGGTTAAAATTACCCACCCTTTGGGCACAGATGACAGTCAAATGCCCCTTTAGCTTTAGTTTGATCAGTGCCACACTATTGATTCTGAAATGTGCAGTTTGAATCTTGATGATACCTGCACAGCTACACTCTGCAGAATGGCTTACACTTACATGTATTATTGCAACAAAATCATCAAAATTTAGCATGAAAGAGTAATCAGTTTATTGACTCTCATACAAGTACTACCTATATACATTAAAGAAATTGCCTAAGGTTTTCTTCATATTGCTCTTTTTCCTCAACTAGCGTACAGTATGTTCTTTTCTTTATCTCAATTTAATCAGATGATGCAAAACAATAACAACTGAAATAGTTTTTGTTTGTACTCTCTGTTGCCTGATTAACTTATTGCAAAAAATATGAAAATAAAGTAAGATTAATGGCTACCTGGAATAATAGGGGATGCCAGTTTGCATTAGCATCAAATGAAAATAAATTACAGGTCAGCAAGATAGCACAAATGCACACATAAAAAAGAAAGCAAGAGAAGTGGAAAACAACATTACCATGTTAATAGGGCTGGAAGGGTCAAATAATTCAATTTATGAAATATTTATACAAGAAAAGCACGCAGTTCATAGCTCTGAGAGATTATCACATATAATAACATAATATACATATTATATAAATTGTAAAAGAAAATAAATTATATTAAGGCTTAAAAAAGTTTAAAGAAAGTGACAGAATACTTTTTACACAACTGTTTTTGTGTGTGTGTGTGTTATCATATAACAATGCAGTTAATGCAAAGATATTGAGGAAAAGAGAGCTCTAAGGAGCATAGAGCTTTGATTTGAAGTCTTCCCAAGTCTTGTAATTAGATTTAATAATTCAGAAAAGAAGCGTTGTTAGCTTAGTACATGTTGAAACAAAAAGTACAATGGTGTGTTTTTTATGTAGAAATATCTTTGTGAGTTGTTTTAAGTATAAAAACATATATCAGCTTTTATTACACCCATTTTGAAATCACTGGTGGTCCCTGTAATCTGATTGGCTCTAAGTGATGCGATTTATTCACAAATTGCACCATTTTTTCCTTTAAATCGCATCTTTTTCCCAGCCAATGAGGAAACATGAGGCTACACTAAAAACAAAAGAGCCAATCAGATTTGAAGGCTTGTTCAAAGTAACCGATCAAATTGCAGAAAAATTAAAGACAAAGAGTATCATGTGGCAAATTTTGCAACTTTTGTTGACAGTTTGCCAACTCTTACTTTTTCCACCCCAAAAAATGGATGAATTTAATTTCAGAACAGTTTGGTACTGCATCAATAAAATATTTGAACTGACCAATTCCTGTATTTGGGCGATTTCAAAATGGATGTAATAAAGTGGTAATTGAACCTCATGTCGTGCAATTTTGGTCTTAGATCATACTTGTGATTTCAAATTGAACTCGTGCTGCGCACTCATTTGATTTTGAGATCATGCATATGATTTTAGCCCAAATTGCACTCCACTCTGTTCAATTACCATTATTAATGGAATTGGGTCAAGAGTTCCATATATTTGGTCCTTGAGAACTTTTTAACATCAGTCCCACAATGGTGAGAATGGTAGAACTTTCCCAGTTTCCTGTCAAGTAATGATGAATGTGATTACCAATTTGAAAAATATGGTTAAAACAAAATGGTAACAGATTATTGTGTTAAAGATACATGGAGTTCATATTTTATGTTACTGATTAAATGAATCTTTCTGTTACTACACTAGGAAGGAGGCTTTTGATAAGTTACACTTTACTTTGGATAATGCAATTGGTTTACCTCTGGGATCATTATTTGAGGTAAAAGGGGGCAAGCTGAACAGATTAGATTTAACAGAGGATGTTGACGAACTTCTTGCAGCAAAGGATGATGTTGGTAAGTGAGGATTACTTTACAGTAGAAAAATTGAGTGGAACCTGTATTTAGCAGTCACCTACAGGAAATTGTGGGGTGACAGGTTCCACTGCATAGGAGTGTTATTAAAAAAACTAAAATAATGCCATTCTATGACATAATTGACCACTTCATGTACAATGTCAAGAATACTACTAACATCTAAACTTGGATGAAATTTCACTTGAATGAATCATTAACCTTAGTTATACTTGAGTGGTCAAAACCAGTCAATACGGCAGGAGGACAATACTAACAGGCCATTGGCACTTAATGGAGGTGACTGCTTGATAGAAGTGAAACTTAAAGTCCTTGTCAGGACTTTGAAAATTAACTGCCTAACACAAGATGTTTGCTTTATATGGAGCAGCTTAATACAGGTCTGACTGTGATAAAATACCATCATTTTTTTCGTTGTTTGATTTATGAAAGACATGAGTGGGTTTGTATTACGCTGTCTTTACCAAAAGCAATTAAAAAAAATTTATTCATAAGTCATGAATTGTTTCTTGTAGCAGATGATAAAAGTAATCGCTTCCTACAAAATGATGGCACTTCACAGAAGTTGTCCAGAGATGAAATAATGAATCTCAAAGCACAAGGAGTTAGTGGCAAGGTCAGTTTAGTGTGATAGACATGTAACCTATACAAATACAATGTAAACATAATTTTTAGGAAAGGAATCTACAACAGTACAGTGACAGACAGCTTTTTTTTTGGGTATTTAACAGGTCAAGTAATGAACATCATTTGTCTTGTTTTGGTTGGTTTCAGGACATTGTTGAACATCTGGTAGAGAACAGTACAACATATAACGAGAGGACACAGTTTTCTAAAGCAAAGTACAAGAACAAGAAAATGAAAAAGTATGATTTGGCTAGCTGATGTATTTGTCATTTAAATGTATGTGCAGTGAAAGTTAATGCAGAAAATTTACTATTTTCCAGGCATTTTGTGAGATTTTCAATACTGAGGCCTACCACTGATCTCATAGCACAAATGTACTATTGCAGAGGAGCTTCAAAAATATGGTGAGTTTGGTTATTTCATTTAAGAAATATAGAGAGCTCAGCTTTTGATTAATTGAAAACATCCATTAAAATTCTGTTCGCTAAAATTTGTGGGCTCTACACAAGTATGTTTCAAATGTATTTTTTAGGGCAAAATGGAGTTCAGGTTAGAATGATTTCAAACTGGTTGATTTAAACAAAGGAAAATAGAATTAAACTTGTTTAAAATCACTTTGAACAAAACTTGTTTTAAACTATTAGGCTAACCATCAAAAGAAAGGAAAATTTTGCTTAGGGTGTCACAAAAATGCATCTAAAAGATTGAAATAATTAAATTTGAGAAACTACTGATGGAAGATAATGATTACTAAATATTATTTTGATGTGTAATTTAAGAAATGCAAGTTCTAAGGAGTCACAAGTTTTAGGAAGTCCCCCTTATCAAAAAAAAATTTTTTTAAGTAAAATTGTATATTTTTGTACAAATTCTTTTTTCTATAAATTTGTAGGACACCAAAGGAAAATTAAAGCAGGTTCAACTGTGTCTGAATATATGAATGAATGTTTGTTGAATAATGGTATTTTTTTTACATGACAACCAAAAGTATGACCTTGAGTAAGTGGGTTGCATTCCCTGTGATAAAGTATAACTACCAAATGCCAGTCAGATCACATGCAAACCAGGGCTCTTATCTACAATAAACATCAAATGTATAGGGATAAGCCCATAGACAGTCATTGAAATGTTTAGAGTTCTGTGTCATTTATTCAAGTTTGCATTCATCAGGGATATATTTAATGTTTCCTCTAGTGACCTCAGACTTGACTCACTGTCTCAGATTCTAACACTGTCAAATGTAAGAGCACACTGTCGTATTATGGTGACAGAAAGTTGTCAAGGGATGGTGGCAGGAGCTCTACTGGAGAGAATGGGGGGTAAGTATAACACATTTGTAAATATGTCTGTCTCTTTAAGATGGCCATCTTCTTAGAACCTGGCAACCTGTTTTGTCTGGGCAAAGACTACATACTCAAGGAAACACTATGTTTAAATTAAGAGAAACTTTTGTTGTCAATACTTACACTGTACTTTTCTTGTTTGTTTTGTTGGAAATTTTCTCCAAGCATCAATTTCTGGTTTCCCTGTTATTGATAGAATTTGATTGCTTTACTATTGTATTTATTGTCTTAAGTAAGCATATCTACCAGATACATGTCTAATCCTCAAAATAACACAAACATGCACTGTGTAAATATCATTTCCTCTCCATAACAACCACTTCCTTCTGTCCTTAAGAGTGGCCATCATGAATAGCTATGACTGTATTTTGAAAAAGCTTTTCACTTCAGGATTTAATCTTTACACCTTAACATCAATATGCATATTCTCCATACTGTTCTCTATACATTTTCAATCATGGTACTGACAAAGAGGGTTTGTTTTAATCAAGAGTTTCTTGAATGGGTGGTCTTTTCTTTTATTCTCATTGCCTCAATGTTTGATTCTGGAGGAATTAGAATCTTTGCACTTCTAGAGGATAAAAGGTTCA